ACGAGAGCGTTTACCTATGTCTGCTGGACTAGGAGTAGGTGAACTTCGGGCTCGTTTAGGGGTTTGGTTCGGCAGCGTGGTAGCTCTAGATGGTGCAGGTGTAGTGTCCATTTCAGTTGGTAGAGATATGGTTACTCTGGTTTTTGTTTCGTTGATTGTTTGGTAGAATTTGGAAATTACAGCTTGAGTGAGACGTTTCCCATAGGAGCGACGGGCCCAGGACAGGGCATGAGAAACGATGCGGTCGACGGCAGGTGATGATAAAGACTTGGTACGAATGGTGGTCAGCTTCTCTTGAAGTGTGGTTTGGTAATGGTCGATCAAGACCTGCGTAACCTTACAGAGCCATGTCCGATTGAGGGATCTAATATTCGCGTCGACAGCTGATGTTTTCATTGCTGGACGGATAAAACTATCCAACCCAGAGACTTTGCGTTTGAAGGTAAACGCTGGTTGGCCTTGCTGTTGAAGGGTAAGGATTGCCAAATGATGGAGGCACTGCAAAACTTGGAAGAACACCTTCACAAAGGGTTCTTCCTCCTTATGAGTGGGGACTGGTTGGCGTCGGTGGGCTGGTAGTCGTTTCTGTTGTTGGTCAGGTCGATGGTTACCTCTTGATTGGTAGGCTGTGTTGTAGGTAGGTCGGCGATGGGGTGGGATATAGCTGGATGGGTTGGTTGGTGGTCGGCGATTGGTATGTGGTAGAGGTCGATGGAAGACAGGGCCGTTGTAGGGTACGTGATATTGGTTTGGTTGACGATTAGTGTTTCTATTTCTGGCTTCTTGCCAGTGGTTGTTGTAGTTGGGGAGCATAATGAAAATAACTTGGGGTTAGAAGGGAGCGTGAAAATGTTGGGATCAAATTATGCAAATAAGTCAAACTGGGTTTGGGGATATATAAAGCAAGATGAAAAATGCAAAAAAATATATATTTATTAAGTTAAATTTGTTATAATTTCTTCAACCTGTTTTCCTAAACTTAACTGATATAAAACCCAGAGTGAAAACTGTCCACAAAACTTTTGTCCCGGTAATTGAAATTAAAATGTTGAACAATTGATTGGTTGATTAGTCAATTACACTATCTCTTGAGTGGGTTCTAATCCAAAAGAATCAAAAAAATATATGTCATTTGAAGAGTCTTTGTACAAAGCAGAATGATGAACTCCTTTTTGATCGGAAGTATGTATATTTGTTATAGCATAAAATTTCTTTCATCACTCATACAATAATAAAACGGTGATATATTTATCGAGAAAGCTATTCGTTTTTAAAAGTCGGTTTTTTGAAGTTCGTTTTGATAAAACCTACCTATGATTTGTTCTTTGTCTTGATCGATTAATTCATATGTTGGAGGTTTACTTTATCAACATTGAATATTTCGTTTGTCCAGTATCCAACGTAACCTTTTTCAAATTTATTTTTAATATTTGAAAATACGAACGCGATCTCCAACTTTAAATTTGGGTTTAATATTTAAATTACTTATTTCATTTTCAAAATTATTAAGGGTAGAAGAAAACTTTATAATATCTATGTTTTGACTAGCTTCCATTGGAGAAACACCGATGGAAGAATGAATTTTATTATTATATTCCGATACAACAGTGGGTAAAATCAGTGTTGATTTAAGGTTCCTCTTTAATCTTTCTACTACTACAGCTTTTCCCTCGTTATGAGTACTGTAAATTTCAAACGCGAGTGATTTCATATTTTTATTATAAAATTCACTTCCTTTATCTACCCTTAACTTTTGGGGTTTTCTATGTTTCATGATCGTTTCAAAAGCATGTTTGACTGATAATCCTGTTTTGTTTTTCAAAGGAATAACCCAAGCATATCTCGTATACAAATCTATAACTGTTAAGCAATATTTATATCCTCTTTCGACTGGCATATTAATTAAATCGGCTTACCATATTTCATCTTTTTCAAATACTTTAACTTTTAAAAAGTTTTTAGCTTTTCTAAAATTCTTTATGAATTTCATCTGCCAATACCATGCCCAATTTCATCTTTGCTTTTAACAGTTTTATGATTAGAGCCCTTTGCATTCTCTCTTTGAAAGTTGGATTTGGAATATTTTCAAGTTCGATTATCATTTGTCTGTCTGAAGTTTATGTCTTTATTTCTGTATAAAATATCGTGTTTAAGCGCAGAGGCATCAACTCTATTGACTGGTTTATTCACCTGGTTTTGGTTTATCGTTTTCATCTAATCGCAGATCTAGCTTAGTACCTGGACCAGTGTAATTATGACCGAAAAGATGTTTTTCTCCAGGATATTTTGCCCATGGAAATCCAGGAAGAGAGCCTAATGATTTTTGTATATCTGAACCGAAATAAGTTTTTGGAGAGTGAGCGACTATCACTTTTATCCTATAACTTTAAAACCTTTTCCTTTCCTTTCTTCTCTTTATTCTCTTTCCTGCTTGCACGACAGATCCTATAGCTTTAGCTTGGGATGAAATAAGTGATTTGTTGTTTGAAACAAAGCTAGCTACTTTTGGAATTATTGTTTTACGTTGAGAAAATATTGATGAAAAGATACCGTCGCCTGAATAATCTTCAAATTTATGTTGTTCGTGTTTTAGAATTAAACTCATGCTATTTTTAAATTAATTAATGTAATGAAGAAATTGTGGTCTGTTTTTTTTTTCCAAAACAAGAGTTATCTCCCATCTAGAAGTTTCTAGATTAAAACTATAAATAACATTATGTAAAACGAGGCTATTAAAAAAAACGGATGTTAAGCGAAACAAGGAAGTTATTTTATATAAGGGTATTTTTAATATCCTTTTTTCGTTTAATTTAATGAAATGTAGGTTGAATAGGTATTTTTTTGGGTGGGGGTTGATGGAATGTGGGGTGTATAGGAGAGTATGAGGTAAAAGAGATGGTGAGTGATGGGTGGGGGGATTAATTTGGTAAAATTTTTTTGGTAAATCGATATATCTAACCACCATATCTGACCCGCCATATATATAATCACATATACTACTGACATTTCCCGGCGGATTTAAAGATTTTTTATATAGTGTGTGGGAGATCCCACCCTTTGATGATTTTTAGAATCAGATTCCCAAAAACGCGAATTCCTGACATTCCCTATTAGTTTATTAAAGCTGGAACAAAAGGTGAGGGTGGTAAAAAAGACCTTAGGTTGGTTAACAAGAATTGTGAGTGGTAAACAAGTATTGGGTGTGGTAAACAAGATATGAGGGTAAACGGGAGCTGGGTTAATGAATAACAACTAGGGTGGTTAACAAGGGCCTAGGGTGGTGAACAAGAGCTGGAAGTGGTAAACAAGAACTGGGGGTGGTGAACAAAATGAAATGAAATGAATGGAGTTTTACGTCCTACTCTTCTGCACCTTGTGGGCAAGGG